TCTTATTATCGTTATTTTTATACATTTCAACAACTGTTCAAGATTACACTTTTGCTCTTGAAGCATATCATTAATAACTCTTGTAAATTGTTAAGATATTTTTACTAAAAACGCAAAGTTAAATAGGAAATCTCTTTAAATTATGAACTTTTATAAAGAAGTAAACTCATTATAAGCAAAAGAATAAAATTACATATTATTGACTATAACAAATACATGTATATACTTTTTTTCTGTTTTCAGAACAAACTAATAAATATAACATACATCTTATCTTAGCATAATCAGGTAATATCGATATAATTGATATAATTTCTTTATTCAATGATTGCTTTTTCTCCAAGCTCATGATGAAATGAATTATAGATTAAATTACCAAAATTACAATTAGTATAAATAAGTGTTTCAAACGAATAAATATTCTAAAAATTAACAAATGATCAAACCCTAAGCTTATGAAACATTATCGTCGTCGTTTATTTCTTCAAATTTTCCGGAATTTATAGCTTGTTCAACCGGATTAACGACCGACATCACACCCGTTTTTTTGAGACGTTCAAACAATACGAATAATCTTTCGGCCTCTCTTTCCTTTTCTTCGTCAGTCATATCGGTTAGTGACGGTGGATTCTCTTGGTAATATTGTCCGGTGATGGGGTTAATTGCTTCACCTGTTTTGCTTGATAAATTGCTAGAACTGGTAGGTGGTATTAGGATATTTCGCTTCATGAGAAAACCCGCTGCATTTCCATAACCAACATGATGAATGAAGAGGTGTGCTATAATTTTTTTGTTCGTCACATAGTTAATAAATTGTATATATGGTAATTGTTTAAAATTAATGTGGCAAATAAAAAAATTTGAAACTAACCATCTTCATCACAAATTGTAAATAGTAATTCGCTGACGTTATCACGTAAGTTAGGAAACATGACTGATGTCATTAATCTAATAAGCCGTGCAGATAATGTTTCTCCCTTTTCTAGTGGCTTAGAACGATCACTACGAGGTAATAAGATTTCGTATGAATATAAACATAACAATAATTATTGCTTTCTTTCTTTACATCACTACTTACATGTCATCGGGCAATAGTTTATTTTTTATTTTGGTTTTCGTCGTTTGGTCTTCTTCGGAAAGCTTTTTCAATAACGCTACCAAAGGTGTTATCACCTCGTCAAAGTCCACACCATAATTGGATTGACGGTCAGTATTGGAATCAGGGTCACCCTTTATGGCGATAAAGATCATGGTTTGTAAAATATCTAACAATATTTCAATTAACGCATATTGTTCATTTTCCGGTTCAGGCGGAAACCAAATTGATTTGTATTGTTCGATTGGAAAATTTAAAAGCGCATGAATCGCATGAGAGTATGGCGGTGCGAGTGGCAAAGGCGAGGGCGGCGCAATTTTTATTAGTATTTGAGTGATTGGATAGAGTAATCTAATGATGTTGGAATCGGCTGTTAATAAATCAATTCAACTTATTGTCATATCTTGATCAAGTTGTGATAGTAAATATAGAAATACTTGATGAATTTTGAGGTGGTAACGGGTTCTTTGCTCTTCTCACCATCACCATCACGATCTAGTTTAGGTTCGTTCAGCATTAAATTAAAAAGTAATTTCAGCTGTTCATTTAACACACTTTCTCGTGTGAATGGTGCGGTGGATTCTCGGTTTGAATCTGGAGAAGATAATTCGTTGACATGAGTTGATATAGTCTTTTAGAGAAAAATGTAATTAGCCTTACTATCAGAAATACTATAATAGATATATCCCAAATGATTTGTTAAAGTTTAATAACGTACTTTGGTCAAAAGATCAATTATATCAAGTTCATCAATCAACCGTTTAACAGAAATACATGGTTTTACCGTCATAAGAAAGAGAATACGAGAAAAAAGAAATTGTGAATTTATCGAAAGAACTTCTTGCTATATAATAAGATTATGGCGTTGTCAGTATCAATTGCATTTTAAATAAGAAAAACGTGCCCTTCAGCGTTAATAGATGCATACCCTAAGTCGACAGGTAGAGCTCGACACACCTTTGTGCTTTTCGAACAAGCCACGCGTGTCTTCTTTTATAAGAAGAGAATTTGCAATGCATATTAATGCTTCTTGCGAGACCGGAGTGTCAACTAATCTTTCGGAATTTTGAAGGATATGAGCATGAGCCATAAGAGTGTGAAACCCCTACGGAAAAATAACATCTGTCAATTATTGTCAACGATGAGTTTTATCAATCAATCTTATCGACAAAAGAAACAAACCGAATCAGAGAAAAGGAGATCACATCCAATTGGATCACGCCCCAGAGTTTTTAACGTTTGCAAAGCCAATAATCGTGCTGACGAAGTGACACTTTAAGAGTTTAGGCGGATTACAAAAGATTGCTCGATTTTTTTCGATTAAAATTGTTTTTAATCAGCCAGTTACCACACCTTTCTCATTCCATTCTTTTTGAGCACCATTTTCGGCAAGGTCTTCGAGAAGAGAATTCACTAGGTTAAGTTTAGATGTTGGACTAAGCGAAGCCAAAGCTATTCAATGAAAATGTGGTTCATTTTGAGAGGGATTTCATAAATTAAAATGGACACTGCAATAAAAGTATACTCACGATTTGGGTTAGCCAAAAATGAAGTAAACCAATTTGTAACGCTCTCAACATCAGCCTTATCAAGGTTCGAATACAAAGTCATTTCGCGTTTTTTTTTATTACTATTAATATCTAGCTAGCATAGATAAAATTAGCCAATAGTATTTATTCCACCAATCATCGTGTGCCATAAGAGAGAAGTTTGTACATGTAGAATCCCGATCATCGGCCACTGTACCTCCCTATTCTATCTGGCTTATTAAGAAAAGAACTTTATTATTTTGTTTAGACGAGATTATCAAAGTTGTATGTGTACTCTTTCTTCTTTTCTTCTTGAGCATTTTCTTTGTTTGTACTGATTGTGGGTGTGTCTGTATACCTTACTCTACATCTGTCTACCTTTTTTTTTTTGTAACATTTTGGCAATTTGTAATCTATCTTACACACAGTTGTTATTCATCGGCACGCAAAAAAAAGTATGTACTCTTTTGTAAAAAGAAAATAAATTTGTGTGGTTTTGGTTTTTCTTTTCTTTTCTCTTTTAAATATATGGTACTCGGTAATTCTTGGGAGATCACTTGATCAAGAAGAGTGTCATTGAGCATCTGCTTTCTCTTTGAATCTTACGAAATCCAATTCTCTCGCCTGCGCATAACAACGTCCGAATATAGTAATTAACAATTTGATCCCGTAACGATTCAATAGATGAAGAGAAAATAATATTATATATGTGTACAAGAGAGCTAACCAACAAACTATGTCAAATCGCCTTTCTCGTCTCTTCTACTAGATAACTCGTTTAATATATATTTCAAACTCTCACATAGTAACTGAGATCAAAAACAAATTCAATCAGTATAAGCATTGTGTTTATTAGTTTTAAGTATTGTTTCTTTTTTTTGAGAATTGATGGCATCAATGGAAGACGACGCATTCGATCTCTATGGAGAAGAAGGCTTCGGAGCTAATGAAGGCACTGTATGTATCTTTGGTGATTTTGAATTTATTCTATTTATTATAATTTATTTATCATTGACCCTCTATTCTTTTTTCACGAATCTTTTCATGTTCTACAAAGCACGATGATTTGTATGATGAGATATTAGGAGACGAAGATGATCGCCCGACGAAACGTCGCCGTGAAAACGAGTTTGATTATAATAATAACGCCAATAATAGTGGGGGCAATAACAATAATAATATTGCCGGAAAGCAAGACGACGACGACGACGACTTATTTGCAGATTTTGGAGAGGTGGACACAAAGGTTCGTAGTTATCTTACAGCGCAGCGGCCAATATTTTTTTTATTAGTAATCTATATTATAATATATACTATTTGGGCTGCGCTGTTCAGTTGCTAAGTGGCAGATCTATTGGGATTATTGTTTATTGTTTGTTGTTTCTCTTTTTTTATTATTTCACGATGCTAGTTTAATGTTTATTAATGATATGCTTCAAGAGCAAAAGTGTAATCTTGAACAGTTGTTGAAATGTATAAAAATAACGATAATAAGATGATGATGATGATAATAATAATAATAATAATATTTGTAGTAATAGTAATAGCAATAGTAATGGTAATAATAGTAACATTAATATTGTTAATCTTAATGTTATTATTAATATTATTATTAAAAATAAGAGACACAAAACACAAACGCAAAGAATTGTAATCATCATCACAACATCATCAAAGCACTCAAAAAAAATAAATCACCATTTTCTTTTCCAACGCCAATTTCTTTTTCTTATTTTATATGCGAATAACGTTCTTACTATCTTCTTAAAAAATGTCGTTTTATGCAGGAATTTGAGATCAAAGAGGAAGAAGTGACTTCGTCTATAAACGCTGTTGAAGGTATTAGTGTTTTTATGAAAAATTTCGGTCATACGCGAGATAATATGGTGACACAAATTATTCTCATCATCACCTGCAAACCAAAGAATTAATCAAATCGAGTATGTTTAAATCAATTAAAAAAAAATAGGCGAATCAAGAGTAGAGCGACGCGGAATATCTCCTGCGGCGGTCAATTTTCAGGCTTCATTGTCAATTGAACATAAGGTGCAATCGAATGCAACAAAAGCCTTATATCTGGGTGAACTCAATTGGGTAAGATTCATTCTTTATTTACTCTCCGAAGAAGTTGTACCAATATTCCATCGTGTTAATGTAACTGTTATTATTATTTGAAGTGGACAACTGATGAAGATCTTCGAACAATTGCTCGAGATGCTGGAGTGACTAATGAATTGAAGGAGATCACATTCTATGAGCACAAAGTCAATGGAAAATCAAGAGGGTATCTATTTATTGGGACTATTAAAAAGGGAGATAAATTCTTTTTCGTTATTTTTCACCAACAATATTCTTTGATCTCATCAATAGTGTTGCTTACGTCGAATTCACTTCACCGGAAGCCGCATCAAAAGTCAAAGAAAGATTGGAAACCATGTAATTGAAACACTTTATTCTCTTGTCATTCATAGATGGCATTAGAGGATTAACCTTGTTAAATTCTAATATTATATAGAGAAGTAACTGGAAAGAAATGTGTCGTGAATTTCACAAGTGCCGATAATGGGAATCCTTTCAAAACTGTTCCTAAAGGTAAATTTATTTTTTATCAGCAATGAATTATGCATCAAAAAACAAACGACTGAGCCAATTGATTACTAGAACCACCGCCAAAGGTAACCCGACAGGCACATCAAACACAATCGTCAGCTGCTTCCTCAGTGAGCAGAGGAACGGCCAGTTTACCTGCTCGTCCGTCTGCAGTACGTCCTCCCGGTTTCGAATTCAATCGTGGAAATTTTCGTCCTAATCCGATGGCACCAGGCCCTCGAGATTTTTTCCCACCTCCCATTTCGCCTTATGGAGCTTTTCCGGGTAATCGTGGATATATGAACGGATTTGGCGGTACTCCGGATCCTTCTTTTGCTCCCATGAATCCTATGATGGGGCGAGGTGGAATGATGGGCATGCGCGGACAACCAGGACCCTTACGTCGTGGTATGATGCCTGGACGAGGTGCTATGCGTGGCGTCTATGGAGAAGAATTTATGGGAGGATTTGGTGGTGGTGCGTTTGCTCTTAATGATGGTTTGTGATTACATGATGGAAGATATAACACTCTATTAAAATTACTTGTCCATTCTAGCTCCGACAGGTCCTGGATTTCCTGCACCACATTTCAATCCAGCATTCTTTCCTGAACAAGGCTACGTCAATGAAGAGGTTCCTGTAGCACCACGAGGTCAAAGGTAAAATTCTCGCATTTTGATTAATATTATATATAATGATGAGTGTGTAAATAAATGTTACTATTGTTATAATTATGATAGAGTTTATGATGTACCACATGGAATGAAGAGACCTCGAGAAGAGGAGGATCACACTCATATGGACACACGAGGTTTGTTTTATTTACCTTTTATTAATTAATTTTTGCGCAAGCAGTCAATTATTGGATATCTAATCGGTTTAAATTCGAAAGATCGCAGGTATTAAGTAAAACAACAACCACAAAGCATCAAAGCCCACCGATCATCACAGATATTTCCATGTCTGAAGTGAGAAAAGACTTTTGTGCCATATGCGCAAAAAGTGATCGAAGAACTTTTTTCTTTATCATTAGATTAACACTTTTCCATCTATCTATCCCTCTTATTAATGCGACACATAATCTTCTTTATATTATTACTCTTTTAGAGATAAATACAGCAATAATAATAAGGAGTCTTTCTTTCATAATTTCTTAGTTTTTTTTTACACATCAAACAAAAAACATCTAAAACAAAAACAATTGGTGGATTACTGTATTTTTATTTTATTTTATTGTTTTTAAGTAATAAATATATTTCATACCGCCAATACAATCATTTATTATCTTTCTTCGTAAGCATGTTATTACAATTATAGCATTACCTTACTACTGTATAATTTATTTTTTCTGGTCTCGAATTTTCTTAGTATTCGAACATTGAGTTAGTCGCATTCATTATTCACCCGTTTAATCGATCATCATAGATTTATTCGTTTCATTCTTCCCCGTGCCATTAATCATATCCTTTTGATTTGTAGTCTTCGAGTCTTTGATCTTTTTTTTTTGGTTGTTGTTGAGTCCAATGTTTAAATAAAACAATCTTTATGAATACCCAACTGGAATTATGGAATTATGTGTGGGATAAATTTTCATGATTTTTCATGACTGATCTTTTCTATTTTTGGATAATATAGGAAATGAATTCTTTGCGCGTATCATATGTTTTAAGGTTCTATAATAGGAATTCATCCATAGAAAGACCTAATCTGTCATATTTATAGATGACGTAGATTTTGGATATTTGTACTTTTTTATATATTTTTGCAAGATTCAAAGCGATAAGTATATCGATATATACTACCATACTACCTGGCTACAATATACTCTTTTTATGGGACTGAATTTTCGTGTATGCAGTTATATGCTAAAATGAGATTTCAAGCTTAACTCTATGTTCAAAGAATTTTCTTTGTTTATTTCGAAGAACTTTACGAATTTTATCAAAAAATTTCGATTAAATATTATTGATTTTCACGAATTATCAAGCTTTAATGTTCCAATCTATCAATATTAATGAACAATTTGCGTTAGAGAAGCAATCTAAAGTTAGTCTCAATAACTCGAAGTTATTAATGAACAATTAGAGGGATTCCATTAAAGTCGGCAAAATTGAACAAAAACATGGTTTATTTGATCCGATTGTAATAACGATAAGGAAAAAGAATAAATACACGAATTTGTTAAGCATAGCAGTCGTTTGACATCATTAATTTAATTAATAAGCACATTTCTCTAAAATATCTTCAGAAGCTGAAGATTGGATTTCAAAAGGAAAAAGCTATTATCTAGAGTTCTATGAGAAAATTTTCGGTATAGTACATTTTAACAGAATTAGAATGTAATTCTCACATGCTTAGAGCTTTTTTAAAAAAAGGTTTTCGTTTACGTGAATCATGTGAAACTTGTTCAGGGTCACCAGCTTTCTTCAAAACCCTATTGGATTTATAATGACATCATAAAAATAGATATACATTAACAGTAAAATATCGAGAACACGAAAAGCACAAAAATACCTTAAAAATACCTTAAAAACACATCCTCCAAAGTACTCTGACCAATAGAATAATCAATGATCCCCCAATAGTGACGTTTTTCTTCCAAAACCTTAAACAATTTCGATACAACTCCACGCGTAGCGTTAAACTGATACGTTACAGACGTGCTAAATTTGTCAAGTTGGGTGCATGGTGCTGGGAGGTATGCTTCGATTTGTTGACATACGAAATCTAAATGTGTTGGTATTGAGTTTATCAACAATTGGAATCCAGAGCCGTGCGTGTTTTTTAGGTATAATGGCGCCTAAATGAGAAATGAAAATTTAATTTAGTCTTAAATCTTTTTGTTATTAATTTATTTTTACTTACACCAAGACAACGCAATTGACCAGCTGCGACGATTCCTATTTTGTCACATAATGCGTCTGCTTCTTCCATCTATTATTACAAAAAATAAATATATATATAAGAATATTTAGAGCTTTAAAGCACTCGGGCAGATAACAATTATCACAGACCGAATGCGTCGTTAAAATAATAGTTTTGTCTTTTTTAGCTTTCAAAATAATTTCCCAAATGGTGCGACGAACGTCGGGATCGAGACCTGTCTATCGAATTGTCAACAGAAATAAGTAATACATATATTATTCGTGATCGTAATAACATAAAGATAAAACTTACGGTTGGCTCATCAAGAAACAACACTTTGCTATCTCCTGCCAATGCAATCGCAATAGAAAGACGTCGTTTTTCTCCACCACTTAAATTCTACAATGAAATTCAAGCTTTAACTTCTTCCTCTTGTTATCTAAATCAACAATGAAATTCATACCTTTGCGAGGCGAGTCTTCGCTCCTGCCAGTTCCACCTGCGCTAACGCGTGCTCGACTATCTCTTTTTCCATTTTGGGATCAATGCCTCGAAGTCGTGTATAAAATAACAAATGTTCTTCGATTGTCTATTATGAAAGAATCATTAGAATATGTATACAACATATATCGACTATACAATTAATTACCAAGTCACGCCACAAGAGATCATGTTGTGGGCAGATACCTAAAGCAATAAAACAGCATTATTGTTAGTCTAGAGCGAATATTCTTAAAAAAATCCTGATTCATTACCAATACTTGTGTACACTTTATCCATATCGGTGCGAATATTATGTCCAGCAACATAGACCGTACCTATTAAAAAAAGAAAAACGATGAATACTTTCCTTCTAAAAAAACCTTGAAAACGGGGCATCGTAAATAAAAATAATTCAACCTGCAGTCGGAGGATACAATCCGGTCATTACATGAATAGCAGAGGATTTTCCAGCACCATTAGGTCCGAGTAATCCGAAAACCATATTTTTCTAAATAGGAAAAATTACTTAAATTCTAAAAAATGATTTCTATACAGTTGTATTCTTATTTTCCTTACTTCTGCAGAAAAAGATAAATTGTTGACAACAACTTTCCCACCAGGATATGTTTTCACAAGTTCTTTAACCACGAGATTACGGTTCATTGGATTAATTTCCCCGTTTAGAATTCGTTGTTGTTCTTCTTTAACGTCGAGATCCATCTATTAATTGAAAGTTTAAGATGAATAAAGTTGGTTTTTTTTTAAAAAAAAGTTGTTAATACATACCTTTTCATCCGTTGAGCTGACACCTAACGATTTCTCCTAAAACCAAAAAATCATAAGTATTCAAAACCTTTTTTACTTTTTTTAATCAAATTACTTACGTGATACAGTTGTGTAGTAGGTGAAGAAGAAAAGCGATTTTTTATCCATCTATATGGACCTTTGACGAAAAACAAGTAATGTTTTGGGACTCCGTATTCTGATGGTAGAACAGCTTGGAAATAGCTACATGCATATACGTGTGTATATATATATATTTGAAAGAATCAGCCAACAAGATTTTCAATAGCATAAGATAGAAAAACTTTTCACATACAAAGTCAACAACATCATGAATATCCACTCGAAAACAAGAAATTTCATAATAATTGACAATTCATCGGTTGCGTCAAGATGTCCCAGATCGTATGGCTATATATCCCGCATATTTATGAAAGAATGAGACGTTGAGATGTATGTTTGCTCGATCTCAAGAATTTTTTAGTGTACTCACTCGAAGACCATCTTTTAATGTTGCACGATTTGTTAGGTGAAGAAAGCCTTCGTAGAATGCGAAAGATGGATGAATATACCAAGTACGTGGTGTAGGTTTAGTGCCAAATATAAAAGCTGCAAAAATATATATATATAAAATTAAATTTGGAAATAACAATGTTCTCTACAATATTAATAACTCACTAGTTGATTTACTGATGATAATGGAAAGCACTATAAAAATATACACAACAACTAATAAAAAAAAGGAAAAACATAAGTTAAAGGAAAAATATAAGTTAAATGAAACGTGATTTTTCCCGTGTATTTTCCGGAAATTACCTAGAGCGCGTCGAGTTTTCGAAAAAAAGACACTAAACAAGAATCCCATGGCCACTTGAACATTTATCCAGATACCAAAGTAGAGAAGAAGAATCCAGGGGTCGGTACGAGTAAAGAGCGTATACTGGATAATGAAAAAAACAAAGAATTTTTTATTGAGAACTTTTTCATAAGAAATTGAATGTACGTAATGAAAATGTTCACCTGAAATGCTAAACCAGTGATGTAAAATACTAGACAAGAAATAGTTTGCATAATACTGAATTCTAGATAATGACTTAAAGTGTGTATGAACGTGTTTAGACCGCTCTGTTTTTTAGTTAGTTAGTTTTAAAAAAATTTATTAGTCAAAATTCTTTTAAAGTAGGATCCTAATAAAAACTTTACCATTTTCATAATTATAAATACGTGATCTTCTTTTTCACGAACTAGAACCATCACAAAGATTGACATCAAGAAAGATATCGCTTTTCAAGACCCAATTTTAGAGTGGAGATGAGCTGTTTAGATTTTTCATTATCAAAAGAGGCTAAATAAAAAATACGTAATTTACCGAATGGATAAAATCCCCAACCAATTAATGCAGTCGAATCGTTTTTTAATTCTTTCATATTAAATTTTCTAGGCATGGCCTGTAATTTAGCAACTATTTCTACTTTTCCCTGTGCTAAATATTATTAAATTGTTATCGTAAATTACACATTTGAAAAATTCAAACCAATTTAACTTACATAAAGCATTTGTTATTTGACTTGAAGCAATTAGACGTCTAAATCCGGCACTGAATCACGCGTGATTATAAAGAATGATTAGAAAACCACGCAATTTAAGGCTGACTTCACCTCCTAATGATTTCTTCACCGAACATACCTTGGGTAATACTCCAATAGATGCATTATTGAAGTAAAGGTGTTAATGTCCAAAATTTCTCGATAGGTATCAGTAACCATTATCATATAATCACTGTCGTGAGGAGAACGCAAATACGTTGTCAGCAATGCTAACATCGGAAAACTTCCATATTGAAGTGTATACGAAATCGTTGCGTTCTGCTGATCAAGTTTATCAAATAATATGGCGCCATGAGGTAGCGGATTGATATCTAGGATCGAGGTGGTGTTGGTGGTGGTCTCCAAGTAAAAATTTCTAGTATTGTAAAGCATTTTAAGAGATGAAAAAGTTCTAAGACGAGAAAATGAGATAATGAAAATTAGTTTTCTATGCATAACGAACAAACTTGTTGCTTAAATAACTTGAAGATATTCTAGAGCTTACGTATTAAAAGCCGAAACTAAATCTTTATTTACGGATAACTTTGTAGACGGTATGAATATTCCAGTATCGAATCGAATATTAGTTACATTGTTTAATAATAAACTTTTAGCATTGATCGGAAGATTGAAATATTTATGTGGGATAAGGTTTAGGAAAGGACCTTTGATATAGATAAACATAAGAAAAAACGATCGGTAATAATTAATTCTACCAAGTAAGTGAACTTACCTTGATCTTTTCGACTTATGTAACTATCTAGGCAACTAAATAAGTCATATGTCGCCGCGGAAACTTGATTTTGATAACAACTGGCCAAGTTGTCTCTCGCCAATTGAATAAAATTTATAGTCTTTGCTGTAGAATCATTAGAAGCCGCAGGTATAGCACTGATTCCATTTTCTGCTACTACGTATCCATATGGAAAGGTTTGTGGCGTGGAATTATACATGAGACGAAACTTTGTGTACCTCGTGGTAAACGGGTAATTCCACCAGCCGTTGATTGGTTTTGGTAAATAAGTTGTATCATGTTGTTGCGAACTTTCAAGATTTCCAAGATTACTTTGTTATAAAAAATAAAACTCATTTTAACGTTAAACATTAAAATGAAAATAAAAATCAAGTTTTAGTTTTTACATGAAATATGGCGTCGGATTTGCCGTATAATTATCCTGATTTCCCGTAAATAAATTTGAGCAACTTGTAAAATAATCGCTATAATTGCTATAATTGAGATATCCAGAATAAAAATAAGCTGAATTCGCCAAAGTAAGAGGTCTAACAACGTCTTCAGTTTCGATTTTTTGTTTAACTTCTCCAAAGTGGCCGAGCAAATCTTGGACATTACCATGAGTTCTGTTCATGAAATTGTCGCTGCTTGAACAATATGTTACTGATGAATCGTCATCATAACCTTCGTTTATTAGAGGATCAGTTGCGTTGATTATAAAGTGCATGAGTATCAACATTATTAATGGTGTTAAGAATATACAACAGAAATTGCTTTTCCAGTTTCGAACTGTTAATGTTAGTGTTAATCGAGACTTTATCAAGGAAAAAAAAGAATGATCAAATTAGTTATTATTTTTCAGCACTTTAATCAAAGGTTAGAATCTTACCAATGCGCGAAATTGTCTAGGACTTTTAATGGCACTGCTATAATTGAAACTAGAATTCGACAAATCATCATTATTTTCATTAATAGCAATGCTGGTATTGTCATTCTTTGTATTTTTCTGATCCGGATTTTCTGGTTGGTTGTCTTTGTCTCTCGTGTATGTTTCGATAATTTCTGACATTTCGTTTGTCGTAGTATTTTCATTGCTATGCTCTAATAACGGTGGAGGTGCCATTTTTTCTATTGAATCTGTCTTTATTTTTCGCTCTAAGAATTAATTGTTCATTTGAAGCAAGTGAATTTTGATATCGATCTCGGTTTATTCGGAGAAGATGCTTCCATTTGACGCTTTTTTAGCTTGAATGAATTTTTCATTAACGTTTCACGGTACACCAAAACGAGAATAGAAAAATAACCGATTTTGTGGTTTCTAGAATAAACAACGATGTGACGATCCACAAAAACCACAAAATAAATTGGAATTCTGTGCGGAACTTCCAGTGAATACCTGATTTTTTTAACGAAATTGTTTTGCTATCTTGCATTCTATTTTTACGTAGTGTTTTGTTAAACTTTGTAAAATGATGTAAAATCACTACATTCCAAAATTAATTCATGGGTTGAATTAAAATGGCAATACGTATACAGTATCTCAACATTTAGTGATCGGATTTGAGTGATTTACCCTGACAATGTGAATAAAGCGATGTTTTTCCATCTAACTGGGTGGAATTGACAGTGATTGCATGTCCAAGTTGTTCTTTGGATCTATTATTACATATAGTTTACATAGAACCATTTCGGTTTACGTATTATGAATAAAACTATGCAAGTTTTTATAATGGTAAGAATATGCAACTCTTATTAAAAGGTAAAAATTCAATTCTCAAATTAAATAACATAAAATATAAAATAGTAATAAATTATTTTGTTGACAAGTCAAGTATTTCTGAAAGATTTCTCATTTCTATATTTTATTTGTTTTTCAGAAATGGTTTACAGTGCTCGTCATAACTTTCCATAGATCATGTGTAATGTTCTGAAATTTTCCGAGCACAAAGAACATTACAAATGCTGATCATGATA